TTTCAGGGTTGTTGTATCAAATAAGATAATATTTGTAAAAAGTCCTTATATTTCCCAGTACACAGAAGACACTATATAAATGCTTGTTTCCTCCTCCTCCTCCATCTTCTTCTTCTTCTTCTCTTCTTCTTCTTCTTCTTCTTCTTCTTCTTCTTCTCTTCTTCTTCTTCTTCTTCTTCTTCTTCTTCTTCTTCTTCTCCTCCTCCTCCTTCTCCCATCCTCCCTCCCTCCCCCATCTCCATCTCTCTCTCTCTCCATTCTCTCTCTCTCTTTCTCCTCTCCCTCTCTCTGTCCCTCTCTCTTCCTAAACTATGCCATACTATGCTATAAATTATTGCTGAGCATGCTGCCATCGTAGCCTATAGAAATCAATTACAATGGACCAGTATTTGCTCCTAAAGGTGAGTCACAAAGCTGCTATGGCAGCAGTCTACCTCTGAGTACAATAATTAACATACCTCCATCCTTTCAAATAAATGGCAATACAATTTAACAAACAAACATCATTTTACAAAGTTCTCATAGGTTATCGACTGGCTTGATGCTTACAAAAGGCCATTTGATAACCCAAAAACAATAAAGGAAAAAGGACAAAAAGAAATCAAACTGCCCTTCTCAGAAGGAGACCTAGAACATGTGGGCCTCTCCCTACAAGGTTCACAGACCTGGGGTTGACCGATACTCACTTGTCTTCTCACTGAGAAACCAAGCCGATTTGGCTTCGGGTCTATGTAGTAACACTGAACCACTGTCTCTAGGGGACTGAGTACAGAGGCAAAAGGGCAATGCTAAGGTTATATTTTTCATGTTTTTATTTGATCTGTCAGTGAGTAAATATTTCCTGAGCATTCATTGTGAAATGAGCACTGGAAATGGGAAATTGTCCCTTTCCAGAAGTGACCTGCAAACTGATGAGGTACATTTTAAGTGAAGATAATAGATTTACAGCTGAAAAGAACCTTAGAGGTCTTCTAGTCCACCTCCTCCCCACTCCCCCCACTATTTTACACTGAGGAACTACACCCAGAGAAGTTCAGTGACTTGCCAAAAGGCAGAGCTATGATTCACACCTGAGACCTTTGATTCCAAATCCAGTGTTATCTCCACCAATCCATAACTTTTTTTCTTAAAAATCATGTAGAATCATAGAAATTTAAAACTGGAAGTAACCTTGAAGATAATCTAGTCCAATCTCTTGATTTTTCAAGTGAGGTAAGTGAGGCACAGAGGCTAATACAAAGTAACATGGTAGTAAGTGTCAGAGCCAAGGCTAGAACCCAGATCTCCTACTTCTAGGAGAATCATCTTTCCACTATAGTGAGAAGTAAATCAGACTTATTTAACTGTCATAGAACAATTGTGTTCTAATGTTTGGTCACAGTGCTGACTCCCAGTGAAAACCAGAAGACAAAGCTAGGGAGAGGAGAGGGGAGGGGAGGGCAGGGAAGGAGTCTTATTTTATGCCTAAATTTGCTTGACTAGATTTTAAAATCTCCTATTCTACTTTTTCTTTGGTTGTTTTAGACCAAGTAGAAGAGACTCCTTTTATTCTACACATCTCATGTCCCTTCTCTGGATTCTGGCTATCCTCTTCCTCTAACACCAGAAACTCTACAGAGAATCTTCCTATTTTCTTCCCCTAACTCAGAAACAAAAAAATGTTACTCTAATAGAGCAGAGGTTTTGAGACAGTGTTAAGTAGGAAAGTAATTTTCCTTCAATGATTTTGCTAAGGAAATTTAAACATATTTTGTTTTAGGAGAAAGAAAATTCATTGAGAGATGTTAAATGAAAGGGGAGGCTTTCCTTACTGTCTTTTGATCTGTACTGAAAACTTTGCTGCCCGAGCCTCATCCCCCACCCCACCCAACTTCTCTTCCCAGGGGAGTTTGTTGTAGTACTTGGTACCCAACTGAGCCCAGAGCAGGGGAAGGGGCAATCAATGAGAGAGGAAAAGGGCAAGTACCCCCTAGAGACAGTGGTTCAGTGTTACTACATAGACCCGAAGCCAAATCGGCTTGGTTTCTCAGTGAGAAGACAAGTGAGTATCGGTCAACCCCAGGTCCGTGAACCTTGTAGGGAGAGGCCCACATGTTCTAGGTCTCCTTCTGAGAAGGGCAGTTTGATTTCTTTTTGTCCTTTTTCCTTTATTGTTTTTGGGTTATCAAATGGCCTTTTGTAAGCATCAAGCCAGTCGATAACCTATGAGAACTTTGTAAAATGATGTTTGTTTGTTAAATTGTATTGCCATTTATTTGAAAGGATGGAGGTATGTTAATTATTGGATTTGACTATAAACTATGCCACCACATAAACTCTTCCTGAGACAGTTTAGTACAAGGCACTGGGGAAAGCGTCAAAAAAGGTTAATGTTGAACCTCTTGAAGTTACTCCAGAGACATCCAAGATTTTGGACCATGGACTTTGCCAAAATTACTACAGTTTTGCCAAGGATAACAAATGTTAAATAGGTCAGAGAAAGAGTTTAAGAGAGTAATTACAGAGCACCCAGTCTTCTCAACTGAATCAAACAAGCAGAGGTGTGAATAGGTGTGAACAGGTTTAGACACCTCTACTGAATCATTGGTGCAAAGTACAAACTCTGCACTTAAAAAGAAATCAAAAGAGGAGTCAAATATTTTTGAGCCAGGGATAAAAGCAAATGGTGTCAAACAGGAAATTACTTGTGGTTAGTTGAGAAGAGTCAGTCACACCCAATGCAGCTCTGATAAAAAACAGCTAGCCTGTTTGGAATCCAGGGGTTCCAATAGTGGGTCAGCCTAGAAGTGGACCAAGCTTCTGAAAGGGATTTGCTTGGGGGGGAAGTGAAAGTCTCTAGCACTCCCCTTTGACCAGAAGGTGACCTTGTAAACTTAGAAAGGTCAGAATATTTCCACTTCCCATAATCCTCCTAGCAGGGTTTGAAAAACAGCAACACTGATTGCAGCATGTATACGTGGAGCTAAGGGCAAACTAGAGAGACTGAAAAAAGGATCCTATAAAGGAGCCTAGCAGAAAGCTATAGCTAAAGGGAAGTTCATGAGGACTCCATAAAATGAGAAAAGGAATCCCAATAATCTGGAGCTATTGGTTTACTCATTTGGTTTCTTTGTTGTTGGCAATTGGGATTAAGTGACTTGCCCAGGGTCACATAGCTAGTGTCTGAGGCTGGATTTGAACTGAGATCCCTCTGACTCCAGGGCTGGTGCTCTATCCACTGCACCACCTAACTGCCCCTTGTTGGTTCACTGATGCAACATGTGCTCTCTAAGCTTGAATCCACTTCCTCTTGAACTCTGTACGTACCTGTGGGAGAGTGGGTCTCAGACTTTAGGAGGAGGGATATTTTGTGCAATGGGAGAGCTGGTTCAGAGTCGGTAAGAATACCAAGGCCAGAGTCCTTCCAAGCAGGATTTTATTGTTGTAAAAGCAAATGAAACCAAGCAGCTCAGGATACTGGTTGGTTGGGTGGAAGGGGAATGGGGGACTTGCTTAAATCAGAGCTGAAGGGGGCCTGACTTACTGAAATTTGCTATGGCATAATCTTTGTGCTATGCAAACAAAAAAAGATTTGCTCCCTCTTTACTGGGTCTTCTGGGTGGCTACCTTGAAATAGCTATACTTTCACTCTGGAGAGTCCCTTTGTTCTCATATTCATAAGATGTTAATGGTTGTCTAATCAGTATATAAGAAAAGGATAGGGCCGCATTGCTCTGAGGGAAAAATAGGACTTTGCTGTTCTACTCCATTTTGTACTAAATGTTATTATACCATCTTAGTAAATGTCCTTAATTAGAAACTAATTAATTTGGCCTGGCTAATTGATATCAAGTGGATAATCAAAGGGGACTTCATCAGTGAGGAATCCTGAGTGATAGAGAACTCTTCCCCCCACAACCCCCCAGGGTTACCCCCTAGAACTGCTGCCCTTTGAGGACTGGTCTGTCAGTGCTCACGCCAGTTAAAATAGTGAGCCCAGATCCTGTGCTACCTGATGATACTACCTAACACACTAAATGAGGAAAAAGAGGGTAAAATGAGATGTTTGCTGAATGAGCCTTGAAAATGAGGATCTTTTTGATCTCTGGAACTCCTACCCTATTAACTATAATTATAACCTTTCCAAAATGCATTTTAGATAAAATTTTATTCACAAAGTGTCAAAGACTACTTTGAAAATATTTAGCACCTGCATGCCTATGGGTTTTGAAGTATGCACCCACAGGAAAAGTCACAAAGACCAATCAGAAACTAATTATTTCAGTTGAGATAGCAAGAAAGTAGCTGTGAACAAAAGTGTGGCAAGATGTTAGAGGAATTTTCCAAGTAGACACTGTAATTCTTGCTTCCAAATAGAGAAGGGATCCAAAGAACAAGAGAAAAAGGGAAGGAAGTAAAAAAAAAAAAGGAAAGTAATTAAAGGACAGACAGTAGGAACTGGGCAGCATAGGGTTCCCTAAGTAAAGCATTTTAGAATATCCACAGGTCTCCCTCTTTTCTATCACCTTCTCTGACTTTTCTGGGTTGTCTGGTAAATTTCAGTTAGAAAGGATGCTATTAGTCATTTAGGATAGTTGGATTCAGAGTTGAAAGAGACCTTTACTGATTTTATACTCCATTTTACAGATGAGGAAACTGAGGTGCTTTGTTCTTAGCATGTGTGATTCCAAAATGCTATATGTTACCTTTACTCACTGTAGTTGGGTGGTTTTTTTGGGGGGGTTGCTTTTTAAGCAATTGGGGTTAAGTTACTTGCCCAGGGTCACATAGCTAATAGGTGTCAAATGTCTGGTCTGAGGCTGGATTTGAACTCAGGTCCTCCTGACTTCAGGGCTGGTACTCTATTCACTGCACCACCTTGCTGCCCCTTGTAGAGGACTGTATTCTCATGTTCATTCTGGATGAAGATGAAGCGGATTTGGGGCCAGGAAAATCTGAGTTCAGATTCTGCCTCAAACATACCAGCTCTATGATCCTGGCCAATTCACTTAATTTCTCTGGCCCTCCCTTTTCTTATCTGTAAAATGGGGGAATTGGACCCTATGGCCTTTGAGTACTTTCCATCTCTCATGTAGGATCTTGTGATCTATTTTTATCTCTTACTCCATTTGGCCATCAAGTTGCCTTCCTAACTCTAAACTATGATCCTGTGATACTACAAACTGGGCCTTCTCATGCCAAGTTAGTTTTAAGTATAGCTTGTTGGTTACTTTGGCTTAAAGGACTGATACACCCAACTGCAACTCAAATACTGTGGCTAACCATTCCTCTTACCATCCATTGTATTTGCCAAAAGCAAATACAACATGATCATTTGGGCGCCATGTACACAGCAGCAGTTGAGATTGTGCCAGTGCTTCCTTGTTCAATTTCTGTGAAGTGATGGATTATTAGGCAATATATCCCCAGTGGAAAGAATGCCTTTTGAAAAGAGAAAACAAATATATTGCCACATTTCCTTCAAACCAACCACCACTTCTCATGCCAGAGAAGAGCAAACCTAGCTAAAAAGAAGGTAAGAGTCTTGAGATGGATGGATTTTAAAACTTAATGAGGGAGATTTTAAGTTAAGAAGACACACACAAAGAACCCTGATCCATTCAGGGAGCTAAAAAATACATTTAGTGAGGCCAGAGGGGGGCCAATGGGAAACTAACTGGCATTGTGCTTGGCCAGAAGCCAGGCTTTGTACATTGCTTTTCAATAGCCATGGGGAGCAGCTCAGAAAGAACATTTGCAACAGCAGCTACATCACATGGCTGAGCTCTGTGATGACTCCCCATTGAGACTAAAAAAACCCCTAAACCTTATGAACCTAGAAGGAATTTATTTCCCTCCTGATACCCACAGAGCAATTTTAACCAGTTAGAGGGCTAATAGGTCTTTAGCTTCAACAAAACTCCTCTAGAGCCAGGATGAATATAAAGGAAGAAAATTTCAGTTTCTTCTATTCGGCATCTTTTGCAGTTTGGCTTTCACCAGTCTTGCCTGGGAAGGTGGCAGACTTCCTGTCTTTGCTCCTGCATTCTCTTCATGGAGCCAGGTGTTTGGACTTGTCTGTGCCTTTCAGTTTTACTCCTGCTGACACTCTTGAGTTCACGTCTGGCTCTGGGCAGGATGCACTTAAGTGGCCCCTGCTGTAGAAAGCAATAGTCTCAGTACTGAGCTCTGTCATTCTGTCTGGTTCCTTGTACCCATTACACCATCATTTCCTGTAAAAGTCTGACCCCTTGCCAAAAGTCTTGTCTCTTGCTGCACAGACTTTTGGTTTCTAAGTTTCAGGTCCTGTCTCTGCCTTAGCGGAGACCACTGCTCAAGAGACAGGATCCTTGTATGAAATCGGTTATTAACTAGCTGTGTATAACCTGAAGCAAGTCATTTAGCTTTTTGGAGCCTTAATTTAATTTACTAATCTGTAAAATAGGGGCTTAGATTGTAATATATTTTTATCCTGAGGTCAATGAAATTTTTTTGATGTTTCCAGTCAGTTAATAAGCATCTATTAAGCACCCGCTATGCATTAGGCACAGTGGGAATAAAAAGAATGGCAAAAGACAATCCCTGCCCTTGAGAAGCTCACAGTCTAATGGGGGAGATACCATGTTCAAAAAGGCCATTTGCAGGGTAAATAGGAGATAATTAATGGAGGGAAGGTTTGAAAAAAGGTTAAGGACATCTAGACTAGAATGATTTTTAACTTCTCTTGTAGCTCTAAAATTTTATGATCTTTGATCGCTTGCTACTATGCTGATGGCTGCTCTTATCTGCCTTAACTAATTTGGGACATTCCTCATTGACCCTCAAGACTTATGCTAGTCATCCATCCCCTCTGTTGTCTGCATTTCCTTGCTAAGTAGGAGGTAGCTTCAGTCAAGACTTCCCCTACACCACCAATGGGGTGGACCATTGAGCATTGCTTCTGGTTTATCCCCATGACTGGAATGCTCTCCCTCCTTATCTCTGTCTCTTGGCTTCCATGGCTTCCATCAAGTCCCAACTAAAATTCCATCTTCTACAGAAATCCTTTCCCCATCCCACTTAATTCTCATGCCTTACCTCTATTGATTATTTCCTATTTATCTTGGATATAGCTTGTTTGTAGATACTTATGTGCATGTTCTCTCTCTCTCATTAGATTGTAAGCTCCCAGAGGGCAAGGACTGCCCTTTGCCTTTCTTTGTATTCTCAGCACTTAGCACAGTTCCTGACACATAATGGACACTCAATAAATGCTTAGTGACTGACTGGGCCAAAGCTACTACTAACAGCCTTATTATCAGCAGGGGTAAAAGGAAGACGGAGCGCTGACTATCATAGAAGAGTGTGGGATGCTAGTGATGGGAAATAGTGGTTATATAAGAGAGGTAGGGAAGTGGTAGCCTTGAGTCTAGCTCACTTCCCTTCTTCTGGCTCACAGGTGCTAAAAGGAATCAGTTTGAAGCCAAGTCACACGTGAAACACAAATTAACAGGATGACATTGAGTCCTAATACTGGACTGTTTCAGAACATTAATGCTATCCGTCACCCGATGAATCATTAGAACATGTGTTAACACAAAAAGGCATTTCTGGTAAGGTCAAATGATAGCTTTGGAACTTCCCCAGAAGGCTAATACGGAGGGCAGTTACAGGTTTTCAAGAAGAAAATGAGGCTGAGAACAAGTTCTGCTACTCTTTGTGAGAAACAGTATCTACAGATATTGTACAAGGAGTACAATAGGACTGCTTCGGGAAGCTGCCCTTTCACTCCATTTGTAGCAAGCTTTTGTTCTCTTTCCTCTTCAGAGGTCTTTTGGCCTCTCACTATATTTAATTTGGAGGAAGTACCTTGTGCAATGTTACATGTAGTGTGGTTTGCATAAGGTTTTATTACACCAACTGTAGCATCTGCCATCTAGGGACCATCAGCTACCTTTTTGTTACCAGGTTAAAAATAGGGGGGAAATTATTCTAGAAAGCTTATCATCTTGACTACCGTGATGGTCTGGGAAATAGACTCTTTTGGACTTTGTTCATTGGTCCCCTAAGGCCCTCATTCTTGTCTTTGCTGAGACTACTTGTCAAGAGACATGGGTCCTAGTACCAAATCAGCCATTAATTAACTGTGTGATCTTGGGCAAATCTCTTAGCTTTTCTGAGGCTTAATTTATTCATCTGAAAAATGGGGGCTTAGACCAGAATAGCAGTTCTTACCTTGGGGTCAGTGAATTTATCCATGCTTTGTGTCTTCCTTTTCAAAGGAAATGAGTCAATTGAAAAAGAAATTATTTTCTTTCCATGTGTAACGCAAGAGGCAGCAAGGCCCAAGGGTCAGGCAGACCTAGGTTCAAGTCCTACCCTTAACACATACTGACTGTGTAAACTTAAGCAAGTCATTTAACCTTGAAACCCTGTCAGGAAACTCTCTAAGACTATAAATTAGAGAGAAGGTCCTGACCTGTATTGTTAGAACACATTTCTCACCCTACTCTGATGTAGCGGGAGGCAGTGAATAGAGTATGGGGACCAGGTGGGGAGAACAGAGCGCTCTTGTCCTACCAACACAAAGACTTACAGCATTTGTTGCCTTCCTGCTCAGATGAAGTCAAGGATAGAGAAAGCTTCAGTTAACCGCATAGGAGTCTTTCATACATGCATCCAGTTCTGAATCAGTAGTTAATTGAAGAAACCAATTCCTCACCATACAGTGAGTGGACAGAAAATAATCATAGTATAACTTCTTGTTACTCATCCTTTGTCTTTGAAGAGGACCAATGACATCACAGGGTGATGTCTTGACTTGCTTGTGAATTGGATTTAAGTGAGGCAGAGTTGCACAAAGTTGTCAGCCTCTCACTTCCAGAGTTATTGAAGTCCAGTGTCAAGATAAAAGGAAAAAAGACTAATGATGGCATAGGATGCAGTATGTGACCTTGGTGTCTTTGATGTCTGACCAAGCTGTAAGTGTTTCACCGTACCTGCCATTGGAACAAATTGTTCTCATCCACCCATTCTGCCAGGGGAAGTCTTCACAGGTTTGGAGCAGACATTCCCCTAACTCACCCATGAATCTGAGGCCTGTTGGTTACCCTCAACTTGGTTTGCTCCACCTGCCAAGAGGGTTTTACCAGGATGTGACTGCTGTGCATGTTAGAGTTTCTTGGAGCCACAAGTGAGAGTTGGGTGAAGGGGGACATCAAAAGGGGGATAAGCAGCCCTGAAAATGGCTTGGCAAGCCCTCACCCCATACATCCCCATAGAATAATTACATGTGTTCTGACATCTACATGAAGGATTGCATCATGACGAGCTCATTGCACATGCTCATAAGGGCCGGGCTATCATTGGCCAATCCTCTATTACATATATTAAGAAACATATAGGCGTAAAAGTTTGCACATACAATAGAAATACTAGGTGAATGGGTTTTAAGGGATTAAAAAATACAGTAAGAAAATGCTTTACCTATTTAATTTCATGCTATGACTCCTTAGTACAGAAGAAATAGTTGCAAGCTTTTGCTTGAACCATTAATATTTTCAAAGTACATATTAACAGCGAGAAAATCTAAACAACTACTGCTATAAGGCTCTTCTGCTGTCCATGTAAAAGCTATAGATATGAAGGTAAATTCTAAAAAACTAACATGCTTGGTAAAACTGACTTCCTAATCTCCCAAAGGGAAGGAATTAATGAACTCTATAAGCTTCATAGGATCTCACTAGATCTTTTCTGGTCAACACTATGTAGGGATAGGGTCTGAGAAACATGTTCTTGCCCCATGTGAGCTCTTTCCCAACCATTTCCCTCTAAATGACACAACCACATACTAAATTTTTTTGTTGTCAATATTTTATCTTATTTGCCCTTTAATATAATAAACTTGGGCTAAAATAGCAACTTGTATGTATTTACAAGCCCTCCAAAACCAGTGAATGAAATAGCTCTAAAAATACAATACTTTCCTTAATGCGCGCACGCGCGCACACACATATACACACATAAGCTAATTCTAACTGTGGTAACTCTTGGATTGAGGCGATGAATTAGGCTCATAATTAGCCAAACTAATAAATGCTGGAGATTGGATATATTGGATAATACTCTCTTTTGGAGAGTATTAAGCAAAAGAAAAAGTCCACTTCTCCTTTCCTGGAAGTGGGGATGGAATCACTCCCAAAGACTACTGGAAATAATGAAATAATTTGGTAACTATTACAGTTGTGAAGAGGAACTGGAGAATTTCCTTTCTGTTTGGTTCTACAATCCATAATGTGATGAACCTGACTTTCCTGCATGTAATTCTGAGAACAATTGGTTTATCTAATGAAATAGGCTGAATGAAACTGGTTTTCATTCATGACATTTAGCCAACTATCTAAAATATGAAGTGCTTTGAACTCCTAGTTGGGTAAATACTAAGTCTAAGGCTTAGATTTAGAGTCACTCAGTTGTATTGCCTCAATACTATGAATGCCCAAAGACAATCCTTACCTGGGCCTCTTTCCCCATTGACATCTGTTTGCAAATCACAGAATTTCAGAGTTGGAAGGAAATTCAGCAGCCACCGAGTTCAACCCATACCTGAAAATGGAATCCACATTTGTTACATACCCAACAAGTAGTCATCTAGGCCCTGTCTGAAGACCTCTAATGACATGCAACCCACTGGCTTCTAAGGCAGCCCATTTTGCTTTGGGACAGTTCTAATTGTTAGGAAATTTTTGTTGATATCAGGACTAAATCTGGTTCTTGGCAACTTATACTCATTGTTTCTGGCCCTTCCTTCTTAATTTAAGATCTAATCCTTCCAAATGACAGCTCTTCAAATAGCTGAAGACAGCTGTCATATCCCTTCTGCATCTTCTCCAGGCTAAATATTACATTTCTTTTCTTAATCCTTTTATTCTTGCTCTGTTATTTTTCTCCTCTCCTCTTTTATTTTTCCCCTCCCCTTTTCCCTATTCTGCTCTATGCCCTCCGTCTGTCAGTGGTATCCATGGGTATGATATAATTCTGAAGGAGGCATTAAAGGCTGAGCTCCATACAACACAGTTTACCCTGACTTTAAGCTCTTTAAGTCTTCCTTATCCATAGACAGAAGGTAGGTGAATTAAATGTTTTCCAAAATTCCTTCCAGTGCTCATATCCTATGATTCTCTGATTCTATTCCTAGAGAGATGGAAAAGAACAACATTAAAGAATGTATATGTATGTATCAGCTGTCTATGTATCTTGGATACCAAATGCTTATTTGAGAAATTTGATACAAAGGATCCATTCCCCCCCACCACCATTTGACTTCTTCTCTTCTTATCCTAGATATATTAATTCTATTTGTAGAGAGGTTTTTCAGTTTCATGGAATCAAAGTTATCTATTTTATTTTTAGTAATTGTCTCTATCCTTTGGTTAAGAACACATCTACTATCCATAGCTGTGAAAAGTATATAGAAAGGCTTCTCTTCTAATTTTCCTTGTGATATGGTCTTTAATATCGTTGTGCATCAAATTTGAATTTATTGTGGAATATGGTATAAGATGTTAGATTAAACTTAATTTCTGCCAAATTTCCTAGCAGTTTTTATCAAACAGGAAGTTCTTTCCTAAGTAATTCATGTTTCCTGGTTTACTAAACACAGAGTTATTCTGCTTTACTAAACACTGGATTGTTTGGTTCCATTGTTTCTGATTCTCCTTTGTCTAAGCTGTTCTATTGTCTATTTCTCTATTTTTTTAAACCAGTACAAAATGGTTTTGATGACTGATGCTTTATAATACAGTCTGAGATCTGGAATGCTGTTCCCCTTTCATCCCTACCTTCTTTGATCATTTCTCATGATCTTCTGCATCATTTGTTTCTCTAAATGAATTCTATTATAATTTTATCAAGTTCTGTAAAGTATTCCTTTGATATTTTGATTGCTATAGTACTAAAACAGTAATTTAACTGTGGTACCATTGTCATTTTTATTATATTGACCTGGCCCAATCACAAGGACTGAATATTTCTCCAGCTAAGTTGCTCTTTATTTCTTTCAAGGGCACCTTCTAATTGAATCCATGTAAGTATTTTGTGTGCTTTGATAGTTAGATCCCTATATATTTTATGCATTCTGTATTTATTTGGAATGGAATTTCCTTTCTATTTTTTATTTTCTTTTGGATTTTATTATTACATAAAAATACTATTGACTTTATGTGGTTTGTTTTATAGCCTATAATTTTGCTCAAGTTATTAATTGTCTCAATTACTGTCTTTGCTGGTTCCCTAGGGTTTTCAAAGTCAACCATCATGTCATCAAAATAGAGGGATAAGTTTATTCATCGTTTCCTATTTTTATACCTTTAATTTCTTTCTCTTGTCATTGATATTTCTAGCATCACTAGAACTATATTAAATAATAGCAGAGAGAATGGGCAACCTCACTTTACTTCTGTATTTATTGGAAAAGATTCTAGTGCATTCCCATTACATGTGATGCTTTCTTTTTTTGTTTTTAGCTAGCTTTATAACATTAAAATAGATCATTCTTTGTCTCTACTTTTTTTTTTCATAAATGAGTATTGTACCTTGTCAAAAGCTTTGTCTACATTGATTGAGATAATCGTTTTGAATGTTTTTGCCTTTAATATGTTAATTATATGAACTGTTTTTCTAATGTTGAATTATCTTTGCATCGCTAGTAGAAATCAAGATTTGTCATAATGGATGATTTTTTTGGATGAATCACTGTTATGATGGTACATAACTGTAGTAGACTTTGAAAAGCCGATAGCTATGGCCAAGGCTTTTCATAACTGTTAGGTATATATCTGGCTTGCTTTGCAATAGAATGACATACTAGGTAGAGGCTTTGGCTAAAGTTAAAATAACTCTGACCCCCAAAGAGCACATTTAACTTGGACATAACTAAGAAGAATGCTGCAAGATAAGTATGGAATGACACAAAAAACACTACCAAAATGTGTATCCCCTTTGACCCAAAAGTACCAGTTCTGGGAACAAACAGGTTGTTCTGTCTGTACAAACATCCTAGTAATATAATAATATAAAATATTCTTATTTGTAATAGAAAAACAGGAAGCAAACCAGATGTCCAATGACTGAGGAATGGCTGAACAAGGTATGGTATGTGAATGTAATGTTTTTTTATCATAAGAAACAATACGAATGAGCAATTCAAAGAAATATGGAAAGATATATGAAGTGATGCATAGAGGAGAAACAAAAATTAATGATGTACTGACTATAACTATATAATTAAAAATAATAATAGCAACAAATCTATGTTAAATATTCATAAAAGAAAAAAATTAAAGATCTTAAAAATAAGCAGGCTCAGGTGTTAAAAGTCAGAATACCCAGCTTTTTTGTTGGGAAACAAATTTATCTATTTGTAGGAAAATAAATTTACCTATTACCAACAGGTTAATAACAGATATCTACAGACATATGTGCAATCACTCTTTTTTGTTTCATTGTGGGTGTTTTTCTATTTTCTTTTCTTGTGCTTTCATTTACATGTTTGAATACCTGACCTTACCAATGGCAGTTAACATAAGACTGTGCCCCTCTGTCAACTTTCTTGATTGAAAGGGACAAAAATAAAAATGAATGTGAGATTTCATACAAAAAACACTGAGAAGGCAGCCAAGAGAGATAATACACTTACTCAGGGTAGTCTGCCTCAGTGATCTATTCCCCAGATGCTCATTTGTATGTTACCCACTGGAAAACATTGGGAAACACTGAATCTTATAGCTGTTTTGTGATTATTGAACAAATGTACATTACTTAGCTATGGCTTCGCTAGCAGAGATGAGGATAAGTTAAAAAGAAATCTATTGCTCTGAATATCCAACCCTGACTCAGGAAGCATTGATCCAAGAAAATACCTTAGAGCTAGATGAAAGAGAAGTAATACCTCTCTGTATTGTTACCTGCTGCCTGTTAGAATTATTTGGCAAAAGAAAGTGCCCTCCCATTTGCTGCTGGGACATGGAACCTCCTCAGAACCCAGTCAATGGAGCAGAACTAAGAATCTTGTGCAGATCCCGGGCCAAGGGTCTCTGCCCTTTCTGAAAGAGTGCAGCACTACCCAGCCAGTGAAGAGGACTGGCTCAGTAGCAGAACCACCTTAGCCTAGTAACAGAATAGCCAAGCCCAGCTGTAGAACATTCCAGCTTAGCACCAAAACCACCAGTCCAACACAGATGCCACACCCATCAGTGAACTTTGTAAGGACAGTCTCCACAAAAGAGAAAAGTCATTGACGCCTGCAGTTTCAAAGTTGTGAATGCCCTGGTCAAATGTACTCTCTACTCATGTGCCTCACTAACATGGTGCTTTAAGTGTATGACCACTCTCACCAAGGGAAACTATGTGCATTGGTAGAAGATTGTGCTCTGGGTTTATGGGTGGGATATTGTATGATTATCCTTCTTGCTTAGCCTTCTGAATAAATGTTGTTTTACGAGTTGAGTCAGCTGGCTGATTTGCTAATAAGAAACACACTGATGGAGACTTGGGAACTACAATGTTAGGAAAGTAGCCCCACCAGGGACCCCTAGGATCCTGAATGTAGTTGTGGTAGCCACACCTCTTAGGAATTACAGCCTGTCCACGGGAGTGCTGATTAGAGGAAAGTGGTGAGCCTATGTAGAAAGAAAGCCAAGGGTAGGAGTGGCTTCCCACTACAAAATAAAATTTGTATAAAAAAAAGAATAAATAGTAGGCTCTGTCTCTTTGGTATTGGTATGTTCAGCTAGTAGCGGAGTGTATAAAATGTGCATTTGTTGAAATATTTCTTTGAAAGAATAATTCTTGGTTTGTTTTTTATGTATTCTGCATATCTCCCAGGTTAACTTAAAAGCAACTTAGGGTATCTCTGTGCTCTTTTTATACCACCGTAACACCTAGAGCCCTCTTTATGAAGTTGGGTAATCAATGTTGTTTTCTGACAGATATGAAATATGGCACAGTTTCCTGTAAGAGGTTTCAACAGTTCCCTGCGGTTTGGGGGTGGGGTAGGTTGTGATTCTACCCCCTGTCTCCAAGCTTAAGGGTTTTTCTGACTAAATTCAGAATTTGGAGTTAAGGCTTCAGTGTGTTTCTTGGCCTTTGCCCTTTCTCTGACTACTCAACAGCTAAATCAGCACCATAATCAATCCACTGTGGCTGCTGCTTTCTTCAAAGTCTTTCATTGTAACAATGAGGGTTACTTAAAAAGGACCCATAGTCCTCTCTTCATGGATGAAGCTTGGTTCTCCCCAGCTCTTATTCATCCAGTCTCCTTGCATCCTGAATCATCATTCCTGGCAACCCAGAACTGTGTTCAACACTTCTCAGCTCTGGTTTGCTATGCATAATGTGGGTGCTTGATAAATATGGAATGTCTGTCTATAGTGAGCACTCTCACAGAAGTTTTCCAAGTACACGAAAGGATCCCTTTGAAGGCTTTCCTCCAACTTTCAACCTTTTTCAAGTCCTAGACAGAAGGTTTCTGACTGCCTATCAGGTTTCTTTTTTATCTCTTCTTTCTAGTTGTCTCTGAAAGTCTGGGGTCTTCTCTCTTGGAAGGTATGTACTTAAAGGAAGTCACCTACATCAGCGTCTCTGGTGTGTCAGTTAAATTTAAAAGCGGTTGCTAAGCAACCACATAAGTATGTTGATTGCACACAGCTGAATTTTAATTGCTCCCGGCTGATAAGGAATGGTCCTGGTCTATAGGTCTATTGCACTCCTCCCAGACTCCCACAGATAAAAAACTTGCTGCTCCACTTCTTTCTTTAAACGCCCTGGAATGTGGGAAGGATGCATTGCTGGCTGAATAAGGTTGCACATCTCACAGTCTGACTGTCATGAGCATCATTTTCCCCTACATCATCCCACCTATCTGTATCCAGCAAAATTCTGAAATAGAGGAATACCTTTATTCAAAAGAACACTCTGCAACAAAGAATTGAGTGAAAGCACTTGGAACATATCCCTGGAGAGTAATCAGCATGAACTATGACTCAGCTATAGAGGTTTCAAATCCTCCATAAAGCTTTCTCTGATAAATCTCACATACAATATTTGCTTTCTTTAGTGCATGCCAAATCAAGGCTATATAGACCAAAGCAGGGGTAGAGCAATGAATAAGGAGGAAATTCACAAATTATCTTTTGTTTATACTTAAACAGAAAACAGCTAGATTTATAGGCCATTGGCAGTCAAAAGGATGCCTTGCCCAAATTTCGTGAGCAATGTGACCACAAGTAAGTCATTTTAACCTCTTAGATACAGGGTTTCCTCATCTGTAAAATAGGGATGATATTTTTTTCATCCAGACCTATGATTTTATTGGTATAAGAAACTCTGGTCAAGTAACTGACTCTATCAAAAGGAGAACAGGACTTGCTTTGAAATTTATAGCCTCAGAGAATTGCCTGGAGTGCTAAGAGGTTAAGTGATTTATCCAAGGTCACATAGCCAGAATGTGCCAGGCTTGAACCCAGATCTCCCTGACTGTGAAGCCAGCCTTTTAATATTTCAAATAATTTGGAATTTTGGAAGTTTTGTTTGAAAACCAGAGAGTCAAGTTCATTCAAAGTCTTCACAACACACAAGTATTTGTGAAGGAGGCATACAGCTTGACTTAAATAAATAGACAGCTTTTCTAATTAGAAGAGATGAATGGCTTGCATGAACTAATGAAAAGTGAAGGAAGCAGAGCCAGAAAAACAGCATACACAATAATTATAACTATGTCAATGGAAAGAACAGCAACAGCAAAACAATTGAAACTGAATGTTGTGAAATGATGAGCAAGCTTAACTCCAAAGAAGAGACAAGAGAAGACATCCCATACCCAAGTACTCCTTTGGTGAGGTTGGGATCCCTTTATATGAGGTATTCTCCTTTCTGGGAACTTAACCTGTCAGTGCAGTACAAGTCGGGAGAGTGAGCCCAGAAGGGATGCTTTAGCCATAATATATTTAGTTTGTACTGTATTACCTTGCACTTCTGTTAGTTCTTCAGTTGTTTCATGCATACTTGTCTTCTTTCCCCAAACAGATTGCAATTTCCTTTGGCGTAGAGGCCGTTCTCTCATCTGTAATTTCTCACGCAACTACCATTAGGTTAGAGAAATAGTAGATACTTAAATGTTTGCCAAATTTATGAGTAATAAGAAATTTGTACCACCATAGAAGTCCTTCTGTGGTGTCTCATTATGGTGTAGCAGGAACCCTAGGGTTTTTTCATATAATATTTTATGTTTCTCCCAATTACATGTTGAAACAATTTTTAAAACATTTTTTAAAAAAAGTTTTGATTTCCAAATTCTATCCTTCCCTTCCTCCCTCCCCTCCCCCTCCCTGAGATACCTAGGTTCTTCTTCTTCTTCTTCTTCTTCTTCTTCTTCTTCTTCTTCTTCTTCTTCTTCTTCTTTGCTTTTTGATGAGGCAATCAGGGTTAAGTGACTTGCTCAGGGTCACACAGTAAGTATCAAGTGTCTGAGGCTGGATTTGAACTAAATATTTTTTTTTCTTTTTGGTATCTAGGTTCTTAAAGGCTGTGCCAATAGAATTTAGTCTTCATAGATGCCACCAAGTTGAAAGGGGTTCCAGTATAGTCCTGCTGACAGTTTGTATGGAGAATATAAACAGGAGCAGCTAGGTGGTGCAATGGATGGAGCACCAGCCCTGGAGTCAGGAGGACCTGAGTTCAAATCTGGCTTCAGACACTTGACACTTACTAGCTATGTGACCCTGGGCAAGTCACTTAACCCAACTGCCTTACCAAAAAGCAAAAAAAAAAAGGAGAGAGAGAGAAAGAGAATATAAACATGGTTAAATATACCACCGTGAAAATATTTCCTGCTCAGATAGCAGTACATATTGCAGAAAATAAAAAAGGAGAGAAATGCTATGAAAAACATGACAAGATACTAATTTAGAAAATATCTCAATAAAAGACGTGCATCTGAAAGTGGACAGGAGAGAGTATAGTGATTGTCAATAATTAGTACTCTCCCAATTCCCCACCCCACCATTTGTGTGCAAGCATACACACAAACAAATTTTGTCATCAGCTGAGCTCTAAGGTAGAATAATAAATCAGAACAGATAAGGGAAATACGACATTGATTATAGATGAAAGTAAAAATACTGACTCTGATTATCACTTTCTTGTAGGATTTTAGATGGTATAAAACAGTCACCATTGTGAGGAGGCCAAAAAATCCCAGAAATAACTTCATCCAGCTAACACTAGATTTTCTTTCCAAATGGAGAGATATAGCATTCCAGAAGAAAACTAGTTGAAAGTATAAGCAAAACATTATGGAGAAGGATGACAGAAGCAGTGACACCTCCACAAACAGTGAAAAGCGGTGAAGAAGAAGACAGCCAAACCAGATCATCCTGAAAGCATTTATAGATAAAATCAGGAGGAAAACAACAAATGGAACAGGTTTGTCAGTGCTATCACAGTGATCTCTTCACCAATGACAATGTCTACACTTGGATTCTACCACTTCTGACCCTACTGTGTGATGTGAGGAAGTAAAAATGGAAATTAAGAACATGAAGTCGGGAGGTGTTAGAGGCGGGCCTAACACCATCTATGTCTTAGTTCAGGTTCAATTTGGGGATGAAAAGAAACACATGAGTTACTGAATAGTTAACAAAAAGGAATTTACTTTATGCGTTATTCTAACACAGCAAAGATATGCAACTAGGATTACGTGACATTATCCTAGGCTTTGGTAGACACAGTCTCCCTATTCTTTATGGAGATATATCTCATCAGCAGTTCAGCAGGGCTTCTATAATACAGCAGTCTGCATGGTCTCGGGTACCCACCGAGTCTGAGAGGCCTAGACTCCACACATATGGGATGTTTTATGCCTTTAGCTGACCAGTCAGCTGCATCAGGAAAGCCGGGGCCAATTGCAGGGACAAATTTGCCTCCTCTTAGGGAAAACTAATCTCTGTCACAGGAAGGAAGGAGGAGTTGTAGCCCTAACCCACGTTTGTAGAAATGCTAGTAGTTAGGCTTTATCACAGGAGGAAAATCTGGACCTGAACAAAACACAGAAGAAATCCGTGCTGGGGGCAACAAAACTTTAGAGAAACCAGGGGATTAATTTTAAAGATACCTTAACAGAGAGAAGAGTTTAAACAAATGGAAAAAGATCTTGGGCAGTATCAATGAACTGATCAACAAGTATTAAGTGCCTACTACGGGCAACTAGGTGGTGCCGTGAATAGAGCACCTGATCTGGAGTCAGGAAGACTCATCTTACTGAATTCAAATTCAGCCTCAGATGTTTACTAGCTGTGAGATCCTGGGCAAGTCACTTAACCCCGATTGCTTCAGTTCCTCATCTGTAAAATGAGCTGGAGAAGGAAGTGGCAAACCACTCCAGTATCTCTGCCCTTGAAAAATCCTGAACGGGGTCATGAAGAGTCAGACACAATTGAAACAATTCAACAGTGATGTACCAGGCACCATGCTAAGTACTGGGGACACAAATTCAAAGACTGAAGCACTCTGTATTCACACTGATATTACATTCCAATGAGGAGACAAGTAGGTACATATACAGCACAGATGAAAAGTTAATAAATACAAACATACACAAAGTAGTTATATAAGGTAGTTGTGGAGAGAAAGCACCAGCAGTTGGGATCAAGAAAGGCTTCATGTAGAAGATGGCGCTTGAGTTGCGTTTTAAAGGAAGGGGGCCCCATGACACCAGTGGTAGTAAGAAGAGAATATATTCCATTCATGGGTGATGGCCACTACAGAGACACTCGAGAAAGCCAGTGCAAAGATGGGGAGATGGGAGATGGACTGTCATGTATGAGCAAAAGCAAGAAGGTCAGTTTGGCTGGATTGCAAAGTGTAGAAGGGGGAGTAAAGTCCATTAGGGCTGGAAAGGTAGGTTGAATCTAGATTGTATGGAGCTTTAAAAGATAAACAAAGGAGTTTATATTTTATCCTAGAGACAATAGGAAGTCAATGTAGTTGACTGAGTAGGGGAGATACATAGTCAGATCTGCACTGAATGAAAATTACTTTGGCTACTGAGTGTAGGATGGATTGGAATAGGAGGGACTTGAAAGCAAGGAGACTAATTAGGAGTCTATTGTAATAATACAGATAAGTAGGGGAGAGGTGATGAAAGCGAGAACCAATACGGTAGCTGTGTGAGAGAGAGATGGGATCAGATGCAAGAAAGGTTGTGAAGGCAGAAACAACAACACTTGGCAATACAGCGAATGTGTATGTGTGTATTGAAAGAGGGAGGAATCAAGGATACTGCCAAATTGGAAATTGCCAAACCTGGAAGACAAGAAGGGTGGTTGTGCTTTTGACAGAAATAGGGAAGTTTGGAAGAAGAGTGGGCTTAAGAGAAAGATGAGTTAAGTTTTAAGCATATTGAACTTAACATGTTTTTGTCAAAGTAAACATCTAGTGTAAAATGTCTAATAGGCAATTGGTCATGCAGGGCTGACTCTTAGGGGAAAGATTGGAACTAGATATTTCAATCTGGGAATCATCTGCTTAGAGGTGATCATTAAACCCATGGGAGCTAACGAAGTTACTAAAAGTGAGTGTAAAGGAAGATGAAGTAGGCAGAAACGTGGGGAACTCCCATAGTTAGGGTACAGGGTGTAAATGATTAGCCAGCAAAAGAATCTAAATAATGGTCAAATATGTAGGAGGTGAACCAGGAGAGATTAATGTCATATCAGCCCAGAGAAGAGAAAGTGTAAGGAGGACACCATGGCCAACAGTATTAAATGTGGCAAGGGATGGAGAAGGATTAGGTCTTAAATAAGACCATCACCTCTGACAAATAAGAAATCATTGGTGACCACTGTATAATAGTGGCTGGTACATAGTAAGCTCTTATTGACTAAGATTGCAAAAATTATTATTTTTGCCTTAGCAGTATATAAAACATAGGCTTAAAGGTTCTTCTTTCAAAGTGTGTCTCTTACGCAAATATATTTCTAAGGTCTGGCATTTGCTTTTTTGTGTTTTTTTTTTCAAGTAACAAGTATTTTAAGAATTTGTCTGCCCTTTCCGCTCCCTCCCCCCCACCATGGAGCAATCTTTCCTTCTACCACCCAATTACAAAGCAAAATAGCACAATCTGTAACAAAATACACATCTATACAGTCAGGTAAAACTCATTCCCACGTTAGCCATTTCTCAAAATGCATGCCCCTTTCTGCATCTTAAGTTTATCACCTCTACCAGTGAGTGTTGTGTTTCATGTTTATTCTTTTGGACTCATCATTTATCATTGGATTGATCAAAGTTCTAAAGTCTTTCAAAGTTGTTTTTCTCTATAATGTCATATTTATATAAAATTGTTCTTTTAGTTCTACTCACTTCTCTTTCCAACAATTTGTAAAGGTCTTCCCAGCTTCCGGCAAAATTGTCCATTTTATCTTATGGCGTAATGATATTCCATTATATACATATATCACAATTTGGTTCACCCTTTCCCAATCAGGGCTTCTTAACGAGACCGAGGGTCATTCAGAAGAAATCAAGCTAGTAATCCACACCATAAAATCCCAAGGGTTTGAAGAATGTATTTTTTAATTAAATTTTATTTTTTTCAATCAGCAAAAATCTGCCTTCTCTCCCTCCCTCTTCCACTGAAAAAAAGAAAGAAAAAAACCCATGATACAAATACACACGGTCAAACAAAACAGCACTGGGCATATAAAAAAATATTATTCTGAATTCTAAATCTTTCTCCTCTCTTTAAGGAAGAGGGTAGCATGTTCCATCATTAGACCTCTGGAATCATGGTTGGTTACGCTGATTAGAGTACCGAAGTCAATAATAATAATAATAATAGCAGCTAACATTTATTCAGTGCTTATTAAGTGTTAGGCACTGTGCCTCTAAGCACTTTGCAATCATTATCTCATTTGATCCTTATAACAACCCTGGGAGAGAGATGCTATTACTATCCCATTTTACAGATGAGGAAACTGAGACAGACACTAAGTGATCTGCTTAGAGTCACAACAGCTAGGAAGTAACTGAGACCGGATTTGAATTGAGGTCTTTCTGACTCCAGGCCAAGTGCTCTATCCACTGTGTCACTTTACAATATTGTCATTATATAAAATGTTTTTCTGGTTTTGCTCATTTCACTCTGCATCAGTTCATACTAGTATTCTCATGTTGTTGTTGTTGTTTTTTCTGAAGCCATCCCCTTCATCATTTTTTTTTTAGGCAATTGGGGTTAAGTGACTTGCCCAGGGTCACACAGCTAGTAAGTGTCAAGTGTTTGGTCTGAGGCCAGATTTGAACTCAAGTCCTCCTGACTTCAGGACCAGTGTTCTATCCACTGTGCCACCTAGCTGCCCTCATCATTTCTCACAGAACAATGGTATTACATTATATTTATATACCGTAACTTGTCCAGCCATTTTCCAATTAATGGCGCTCACCCTCCAGTTTCCAATTCTTTGTCACTGAAAAAAAGAGCTATGCATATTTTTGTACCTCCTTATTTAGAATTTATTTTGCTTAGGGCTAATCTCCCCCCTTTCACCGGCCTCCTTCTTATTCCTGCTTCTCTCTTTTCTACTTTCCCTTCCATTTCCCTGTTGAGTGAAATGTATATACGTACCCAAATGTGTATATGTATTCTTTTCTCCTTTAACCAATTCAGATGAAAGTGAGGTTCAAATATTGAACCCTTTCCTCCTTTTTTGTATAGACTTCTACTTGCCCACCCCAATTAAGTGAGCTAATTTTCCCTAATCTTTCTCTTCTTTTCCTCCCCTTGTGTATTCTTTTTCCCCCTTCCTTTACATTCTTCTTTTAAGATTATCAACATAGAACAGAACCACTCCTAAGCCTCCTGTTTAATTAGACTCTCTCTCTGATGCCTAGTGATGATAAAGTTCACAAGAAACACAAGTATCACGTAAGCAGTTTATTGTTGTTTAGTCCCTTATGATTGATTGTTCATGTTTACCTTTTTATATCTCTCTCGATTTCTGTATTTGCACTTCAGAGTTGCTTCACAGGTGTGGTCATTTTATCAGAAATGCTTGGAAGTCATCTAAGTAGTTAAAGATCCATTTTTTTTATCGCTATTACACTCAGGATTATACTCAGTTTTTCTGGGTAAGTTATTCATGGTTGTAAGGTTATATATCCTTTGCTTCAGGAATATCATTTTCTAAGCTCTCTGCTTCTTTACAGTTGTGGCTGCTAGGTTGTGTGTGATTCTCATGGTTTCTTGCTACTTGAATTCTTTCTTTCTTACTGTTTACAGTATTTTCTTTAACTTGGAAGCACTGAATTTTGTCTATAATATACCTGAGGGTTTTCATTCTGAGGTTTCTTCCTTGATTCTATTTCTACTTTGCCTTTTGGTTTATGAGCTCTAGGAAGTTTCTTTCTAAGATTTCTTGAAATATGATGTGTAGGCTCTTTTTTTTCTGGTCATGGCTTCCAGACAGTCCAACGATTCTTTAATTATCCCCTTGATCTGTCTTCTAGGACTGTAATTTTTACTATGAGATACCTTACATTTTCTTCTATTTTTCCATTCTTTTGACTTTGTTTTAATATTTCTTCTTGTTTCCTGGAGTCATTAGCTTCTATTTGGACCATTCTAATCTTGAAGAAGTTGTGCCAAGGTCTTAATTACCTTTCCAATTATTTTTTGCTTTGCTTTTGCTCCTTTTCCCATTTTCCCCTCTAATGCTCTTATTTAATTTTAAAAAGTTTTAAATTATTTTTTCAAACTTCTGCTTCATCTCTTGCAAGAATTCTAGCTGAATTTGCAACCAAACTGCATTTTTATTTGAGGCTTTGCTTTTAGGTGTTTTGGAGTTATTCTCTTTTTGTTTCTTTTTTTGGGTTTGTGTCTGGAGCATCCCTGTTACCATAATAGCTTTTAATGGTAGGATTCTTTTCTTGTTTGCTCATTCTTCCAGCCTGCTTCCTGACTTCAGACTTGGGACTAGGGCCTAGCTCTGTATATTTCTGGAGAGAGTTGTTGGACTGGTCTTGCTGCTGCTTTCTTGTGGTACTGAGTAGTGTGTTATTATTACAGGGTCTCAGAGATGGCTTAGGCTGGGGACCTGCAAGCTTTCAGAGCTCCCAAAGTGCAAAGTCTCCAGGACAAAGTCTAATCACTATCCCATTGGTCTGAGCTCTGCAACTTCTTGACCTGCATTTGGATTTGGAGCAACAGGTCTGTGGGCTCGCCCCATTTAGAGTTCCAATAGAC